ATATATATATATATATATAACCAATCAGGTAAATAAAACATTAATAGGGCTCAGATATTGTAACAGTAACATATAGCTCTAAATTATAAATTGGTGAATTCGAATAAGCTATAATTAGAAATGCATATTTCATACATTTTAGGGACACTTCTGCACTTTTAAGCTCATTAATAGTAACAACATAAGATGTTTATTTTTTGAAATTTTAATTAATTTTTTTGCATAGGTATTTATGAACAATTGTATGGATATCTTAACCTTTTTTACCTCCCATAACTAATCATTATATTTTATATCAGGTAGGCACTAACACAATAATTGTATTTAGTTTAGAGAGCAAATTTTCCCACTTTTATCAAATATAAATTTTAAAAAAATTTGCTCCAACGTTATCAGACAGTGTCAACGTAAAAGTAATCATTGAAATCATAACCCAATGCTCTGTAAAGAGTGTCATCATTTAAATTAATTTAATAACATAAGTAGTTACTATTGAAAATGTAAAATCCATCATAATATATTATTTATAAAGTTTAAATAAAGTCAAATAACTTAGTAATCAGAAGTTGTCAACGTAAGTAATCATTGATATCATAACCCAATGCTCTGTAATGAGTATCATCATTTTAAATTAATTAAAAAACACTAGTTACTACTTACTATTACTATGTATGATAGATAATATTAAATTAGGAAGTTTCAAGAAAGTCAAATTATACAGACTTAAAGATATTGGTAATCAGACTTTGTCAACGTGTTAAGTAATCACAGGATATCATAACCCAGTGCTCTAAGCGATGTCATCATTTTTAGTTGAATGTTTTAAATACACACTATTATTGTTGTTTCACTTCTAGTATAAACTTTTTATGTACTAAATTTGTCTTAATTCATTGGAACTCCAGAAACAATTTATTTTTACCAGAGTACGCTGATGAAATTATTTAATTTAGCACACATTAAAAAAAAAAACATAGAAAACTGATAGTACAAGGTTCATATGTGGACATTTTGTGTGCATATTAACATTAAAATTATGATTTATATTATAATTACCTTTTGACATGACAAGAGCAGGTACACCAGAAGCGGCAATAGCTGATACTGTAGCATATCGCTTTTGTGTTACGTTGATTTTTCTATGCCAACGGCGCCATACACGTGTAGGGGCGAACATTCGTCCACCGCGACACATGTTACCGAAAGCTCCTTGACCACTGCGGTGAGTACCACCACCCCGGACACGAGGAATACGAGCAACAGCACGACCAGTACCCCATGATTCAGCACTAGTTTGATGACCTTAAAGTATTAAATAACCTAAACTAAATGATAAACAAATTATAAAAAAAAACATTTCTTACCAGCTAGTTTGCTGACAGCATAAGGTTGTCTGCTGTTCTTGGAGACATTGTCGTGTACAAAACTAACAACATCTGGTCTGATGGGTGCCTTGAACACAGTAGCAAGGGCAACGGTTTCTCCAGTTTCTTCATTTTTTTCACTGTATACAGAAACTAACGGCCGAGCTGTAGATAAAGCCTATAACCATAATAAAATGATGTGTCACCAATTTTCAATAGAAATTTTTAAATAAATAAAAATAAAAAGTATCATTTGAAGTAACACCAAGTACACCCTTAAGCACAACACAAAAGTAAGGGCAGACATTACTTGGAAAATATACTTTTATGTACACATGGTTTTACAAACATAAGTATTGAACTGGTGGATGATTAACAAACCGTAAAATACGGGAAGAAATGGTTTTATCTGCGGTATAAGAAGCCCAATCACGAGTCATTTTTTTTGTTAAAAGAAACAGTATCAAATACCTAACTACAAAAACGTGATGGTGGATACATTTTATGTCGATTGAAACCAAACTTACAATTTAAGGATATTGTTTAGAAAGTGTCTCGAGTTTAATTCGAAAACATGAAACTGCAAGCGGTGAAACATCATTAATACAAAAGTGAGGTTAGGTTAAGAAATGTCGCTATTTTTTACATATAAATAAGCTATATCAGTGAATCGTAGTGAAGACGTTTTAAGACGATCGAATTTGCACAAGTCTTGAAACTAAATGTCTGAACGCGAAAACAGGCATTATTAAGTTAAGATCGCCAAACAAGAGGTCCACATGGCCAGGCATGGCCAGCGGGTCGAGTGCATGCAT